GGCTTGATCCCTTTAAATTTTCAGTGTTTAAATCATTGATATTTTAATGATTTATCTATAGATAAAGATAGGAAGTTAAAGCTATGCCATACAATGTTAAATGCTTGGGGAAATGAATAAATTTGTTTTATCCTAGTGATGTGTGTATCTTTTTGTCGTAAAAGGCTGAATGTTATTAAAAAAACCCTCAAACAATCCAACCCTTGAAAATCTAACTATGGAGTACTGTGTTGAGCTCTGGCACCTTCAACATAAGAAGTACTTTGAACTGTTGGTGCGGGTCCAGAAGAGGACCACAAAGATGGTCCGAGGGCTGGAGCACCTCCCCTACTGGGACAGAATCACAGAATATTAGGAGTTGGAAGGGACCTCGAAAGATCACCCAGTCCAACCCCACTGCCAGAGCAGGATCATCCAGAGGAGGTCACACAGGAACACGTCCATGTGGGTCTTGAATATCTCCAAAGAAGGAGACTCCACAACATCTCTGGGCAGCCTGGTCACTCTCACAGTGAAAAGATTTTTCCTCATGTTCAGCTTGAACCTCCTATGCTCCAGCTTGCTCCCATTGACCCTTGTCCTGTCACTGGACATCACAGAGCAGAGCCTGGCTCCTTCCTCCTGACGCTCGCCCTTTACAAATTGATCCCCATGAATGAGGTCACCCCTCAGTCTCCTCTTCTCCAAGCTAAAGAGACCCAGCTCCCTCAGCCGTTCCTCATCAGGGAGATGCTCCACTCCTTTAATAATTGTGGCTCTGCACTGGACTCTTTCAAGCAGTTCCTGTCCTTCTTGAACTGAGGGGCCCAGAACTGGATGCAATTTTCCAGATGCAGCCTCACCAGGGCAGAGTAGAGGGGGAGGAGAACCAATCTTGCACTACTAACCACCCCCCTCCTGATACACCCCAGGATGCCATTGGCCTTCTTGGCCACAAGGGCACATTGCTGACTCATGGTCATCCTGCTGGCCACCAGGACCCCCAGGTCCCTTTTTGCTGTGCTGTTCCCCAGGAGGTCAGTCTCCAACCTGGTGGTGTTCTTTCCCAGATGCAAGACTGTATACTTGCCCTTGTTGAATTTAATTAATTTTCCCCTGCCCAACAGACTGAGAAAGTTGGGGCTGCTCAGCCTGGAGAAGAGAAGGCTCTGTGGAGACTTTATTGTGGCCTTTCAGTTCCTGAAGGGATCTTACAGGAAAGATGGGGAGGGACTTTTTACAAGGGCCGGTAGTGATAGGATGAGGGGGAATGGTTTTAAATTGGAAGAGGGGAGATTTAGACTGGATATTAGGAAGAAATTCTTCACTGTGAGGGAGGTGAGACACTGGCCCAGGTTGCCCAGGGAAGCTGTGGATGCCTCCTCCCTGGCAGTGTTCAAGGCCAGGTTGGACGGGGCTTGGAGCAACCTGGGCTGGTGGGAGCTGTCCCTGCCCATGGCAGGGGTTGGACTGGTTGAGCTTTAAGGTCCCTTCCAACCCAAACCATTCTGTGATTCTATCCAAGAGGCTTTTTTCCCATCTAATGAATAGTAAAGTGCTTTAGGTTTTTGTTTTAAGAAGAGATCAGTATTATTGCTGCACATGTAAAATCAAAACCATTCTGGAGTAATGAATCTCCTTCAATGACAGTTACCTACCTCTTCACTGTTTTAAGCCATAGTACTTCATAATTATGCCTTTAATTTTCCAAGTCCAAGTTAGGTTCTTCAAGCTGATCATGTTGTATTTCACATGTATTGTCATGTTTTATTTCACATTTTATTGATTCTCACACCATTGATAGAAGCATACTGGCTCTAATTTAATATTGCAATACTATTGCTGCAGTTCTGTGAGGATGTCTTTTGTATTCCAAATCATAGAGGGCCAAGCTAGTGTGGTGGATCTAATATGCTTTTACATTCATTCACCTATCACAAATTGATATTAAACAGTTATTTTTGAAGTTTTTATAAGTTGAAAGCTCATTTTACAGGATTGTTCGAATACATTTCAATTTTTGTGTGATGATATAAAATTATTTATGGAACTATGTATAAGGCAATTGCAGTGTACTTTGAATAAACTGATAATAAAGATTAAGTTCAGGTAGGCTTAGTATCATCTGACTTCTGGGCAATTCTCATTGATCTTTTTTTATTCTGCACAGACATTAGTTTATTTATGTAGGCTATGTGGTAGGGTTTTAAACCAAATTGAACTGCACTTCAGTAAATCAGTATGTGTTAAAATACAATAAAAATTCACATGAAGAGAAGAAGGCCAACTGAAAATTTTGATTTCAATAGAATAATGTCAGGTTTTAAAATTTATTGTGAATTTAACTTCCCCTCCCCCACTATAGCCTTGTTTTTTCCAACATTTTCTTTGCTGGTCACATTCTATGTTAAATTATCATGTAAGAAAATGAAGTATATTGATCTGCCAGTAGACTTTTAAGAAGTAGGAAAGTATAATATGTCTTGGTAACATTAAGGCATTTTTAGTTTAAGATATGAACTGTTTTAAATTAAAAATTTAAATGCATCAATGAAAGAGTAGAGAAATAAGATGTCTAATACATGGCACTCCAGATTATAAAAAAGAGGGAAGGAGAAGTTTGCCAACTGCTGATAGTTTTACATGTGCATGGGTGGTTTATGTTCCTCTTCCCTTGACCATGATGTCTGTCAGTGGAGGGAGCACGTGGCATTATTTTCCTTCTCCATCCTGTGGATTGGTTTACTGATCTATTTACTCTGTAGAAATGGGACTAAGTAGCCCTGAAAGCCAAAGTTTCTAGTTCTGCATGGGAGTAGGATGGTACTGCTGTGGCTGAAATCTTCCCCTTTTGTCAGCTCTTAAGGGAAAAGAGGATTCCTCTGTAAGGCTTTTTGAATGGATTTTTGTTAATTCTTGTGAGTAGAGCCAAGACACAATTGGCATCTGTCAGAAGTGACCCACATCTGGAAATTACTGAGATCAGCTTGCTCATACACCTTGGAAATGAGAGCTAGCACAATTTTCTGACTTGCAAAATGTTCTGTGATCTGCAAGGTACTTTGCTGAGATTCAGAGTTAAGGGCAATATGGGTATATTCAGCATCCCACTTTCTTTTTAAACCTATGGAATAATTTTGTTAATCTGTAATTCAGTTTTAATTACTCTGGTAGCTGTGGTAATGTTCTTATCTCCAGCGGCAATAGCAGGACTTCTAAGTCATAAGGATTTAAGAAGTTTCTTGGAAATTGATTTCTAAACATGAAGCAGCCCAGTGTGTGTGTCTTAAAAGTAAAGCTACTCCAAGCCTCAGGGATTTTTGTTTGAAGCACTGATTTATAAGAAATGAGTAGAAGTCATAGAAGTTAGGAATGACTAATTTAAGCAAATGGTACTTCCCCTCAAAAAGACAGTATTTAAGGTGCTTGAAAAGGTTTCCTCTCTCTTGTATGCAAAATTGTGGTGTATCCTGCAATTGTGGTGTTCCCTTGGACTTGAGTTGGATTGTGTAGCATCACTGACACCAACTTTGTAGTATCCTTTGGTGTTTTTTTTAACTTGCCTTAAATGAGTGGTTACTTAGTCTTGTTCCTAGTGGAGAGGAAAAGAGAGTCAAAAACTAATTACTTAGAGATATATATATATAAAATCCCACCAAACCAACCAACCAACCAAAACCCCAAACCAAAGTAACCCTTGAAGTCTGAAACTCAAAGCATCAGGTAAAGCCCATGGACAGGGTAGGAGAGGTGACAGTGCTCTGCTGGGTGATGTGTGAAGATGAAAGTCGTGTACTTGAAGGATTTGTAAAACGTGCCTCCTTTTAGTATATCATAAATGCAGCTGTGGGCAATGTTTCTCCTCATCATCCCTTTTTAAAAGCTTTTGTTAGCTTCCTTTTCTCTGGTTTGTTAACTTGCAGCTATTGAAATTAAGAGTCTTCATAGTAACAACTTTTCTAATTATTGATTAGTCTTTCTTTGTAGTTATTTATCTGGTGCTTATTTAGTTATTATTTAATTTATTTCGTAGCCACTGGTGTGCACTGTGCTCACTTTTTTTTCCATCCAGTTTGAAGTTTTGGCATATTCACATTGGTGGACTCCTACAGAAAGCTACTGTCTATTTCCCCATGTTCTAAAGGGAAAACATAATGGCATAACTGGGTTTTCGTGTTGATCTAACGAGGGAGTGCATTACTGCCGGTGAATATTGTAAATGTGTCTCATAGAGGATGTTGTAGTGCTGTTTCATCTCCCTCCTCCTCCCTGTTTTTAATTTCATGAACTGAACAATTTTGTCATCAGCCATCCATTAGACCGGTGCATATTTGGAATCTGAAATTGCTGTGGCACTGAAATATGTCAGGGCTAAAATGACCTCGTGCACTCCCACAGGGAAGATACAAAACCTGAAATATTTGATTTCCACTCTTGTGCCTCCCACAGCAGGAAGAGCTTTTTGTCCTCTTGCCTTGGAGATAAACCAAATTCTTTAGTATAAGCTTTATGTAAGAAGACTGGTAACACTGGTAAAGGAGTATTGATGCTCCCATAGATCCTTCTGCCTTTGAGTATGGACAGTTAGTTTTGACTGCCTGAAATAACTGAAGTAACAACACTTTATTGTAAGCTTTTTTTAGTGCTTGTAAGTATTCTTTACTCCTCCCATGCAAGCATGAGGGTTATGCGTGCTTGTCTGTGTATACATCAGAAGAATTTTCCTTAAAGTGTTAAGAACATGGTAAGTTACAGAAACTGTTCATAGCTTTCATGTTGTTCCTCCTCATCTTCCTCTGAGCTGTTACAAATTAAAGTGGAATTATCTTTACCTCTAATGGATGGTTTATTGTTGCTACACCTAAAAAAGCCCGTTTAAAGCTTAAGCCAATTAAGCCATATGCTTAACTGTGGGTGATTTGTTTATATCTGGCAATAATTTTTCCAAGCTGATATATTGAAGGAATTGTTGTGGGTTTTTTGTTTTGTGCTTCATTCATTTTTATTTTTATTTTTAATAGGTAAAGATAGAGTTTTCAACACCCCGTTGTGTGAACAGGGAATTGTTGGCTTTGGTATTGGAATTGCTGTTGCAGGTGCTACAGCCATTGCAGAAATTCAGTTTGCAGACTACATTTTCCCAGCATTTGATCAGGTTAGTACTAATAAGTTTGAGAGAAGTAAAAAGAACTGTTTAAATTACTCTTCTGATAGCATTAATGCTTGGTTTGAATATGTAATTTTTGCAAATATATCCACAGCTGTATTACTAATATTTATGTATACTTTATGTAAACAGGAAGGTTCCAAGGCTGATTAAATAATAGAAATTAAAGATGTGGTTTGAAGCAAATATCTTTGTTTTTAGTTTTAGTTTTGTGGCTATGTTGGCTTTAGCAGCCTTAAGTTCTTCAGCTGTGTCCTACCAACGTCATCTCTCACTTCTCTATGCTTCTGCAGCTGCCCATGTGTCCATAGGACAAACTATGGATTTGAACTGTGCTTACAGTGTGGGAATGGGGAAACATCTGGGTTATGTGGCTGATCTCAAGGCCTGGGCATCTCACTTGAACACACTAAATTATGGCCTCATTTGCCTTGGAAAATGTTTGCCTTTCTACTGACTTGCAGGATTCCTTTGCTTGTCGTTTGGTCATCTGGATCCCATGCATGGTGCAGATGATGAAGTTGCATCCTATGTATTGTAGAAGCTTCATGATACATAACTAAAGGTATATGTTATTTTTGTATATAAATCTTCTCAGATTGTTAACGAAGCAGCAAAATATCGTTACCGCTCTGGAGACCTGTTTAATTGTGGAAACCTCACCATCAGAGCCCCCTGGGGCTGTGTGGGTCATGGCGCCCTGTATCACTCTCAAAGTCCAGAAGCCTTTTTTGCTCACTGTCCAGGAATAAAGGTACAGTAACTCTTATTTGATGAAGATTAATTGTTTGTTTGTTTTTAATGAACCTGACTAACAATGAGTCTGGGTGCAGTCAGGAGAAGAAGAGTGGAAGTCAAAGTACACAACAAAAAATATGAATATGTTAATTAAAAGCTGTTTTAGAACAAGTTATAAACATTAAACTGTGTTTGAGAATTTATAACCATTATTGAAGCAATCTTAAGTAGACATAGCATTTTGTATTTGTGTGCTTTTTCCACCTAGGTAATTAAATCAAATGCTTCCTTGAGCTTGTTTAAAAACTTGGAGTAATTTATTATGATATAGAAGCATAAGATAATTTATGTGATTAAGATACTGATGCTAGGTCTAGCTAATCTGTGCTGATTTTCTTAGTCCATCTCAAATCTTTAGGTACTGAGCCAAGTGCAGGGATTTAGTGATCTACTCTCGTGATTAAAATTCTTTCAAATTCATATACTTCTGTACTTAGCCTTATGAATAAGTTAACTCAGAATTTTGTTTCATCACTCCAGATAATTTAATTTCTTTTCTCTCATTGCTGATCTTCCTTTCCTTTTTTTTTTCTTTTTCTTTTTTCACTTTCTTTCATTTTTCCTTGGGTAAAGTGCTAAAATAGGTTGCTACCACTAACAGCTGTTATCTCAGTTAAGGGTAAAGGGCACATTAAATTATGTGTAGCTGATGGAATAATATACTAGTTTTTGATGCACAGAGAGGCATTTTAGACACAATCTTTTGAATTTTTTATCTTTTTGAAAACAATGTTGTTCCTTCAATATTTTTTGCAAAGCTGTTCATTAATACAGTTAATATTTAAGTCTCTGTCTTCAAGGTTGCAGGTCTTTTTTTGAATGAACCCAAACCCGGCCCTTAAGGTGTGAATACAGAAATGCAAATGAACGTGTGGTTCAGATGCATTTGCAAAAGTCCCATATCTATACCTATTTTCTCCAGATTACAGGAGTAAAGGCCATGTATTACAAGCTGGGAAGGGTAGGATTGAATTTCGGGGAGAATGGTTTTCAAAACTGCCCTCTTATTAAACTCTGTGGCAAGTTCCTGACTTTAGATTATTATTTAGTGTTTTTCTTAAGTGAAAGATGAGGTTTGGATTTCCCAAGCAAAAGGGAGTTTGCACGACTTGGGCTGTTCAGGGGATGGACTGTAATCATTAGAGCTTAAGACAAGACTTGGGGTGACAAGGACATAGCTGGATGGTCGTATCTTCTGTCTACTGTTGTCAGGATGTGTGCCTTAATGGATTGGACTGTCTTCCCAAAATTACTGTATTGACTCTCTCCATTCCATTGTAAGGTGCTCCAGAATATTTGCCATCACACCTAGAAGTTTACTTTTCATTTCCAGCATTAATTTTTTCCTGACTAACTTGTATGTTTAACTTATCTGTCCTTCATCTTCCCTTTCATATACTAAGAGAACAGTTGTTTCCCTTTAGTCTTTGTTCTGTTAGACTAAACAAATCAAACTTTCAAAGAGATGTTAACAATTCTTGAACCTCTTTTGGCATCTGTTTCATTCATTTTCTTTCAAAATAGCTGATAGAGTCATGAAGTATTCCAGCTGAGTTTCTAGCAGTGGTTTTTGCAATAGCCCTAACACTTCCTTGGCCATATCATTATGCCTTTTTTAGGGCTGTAATTCATAGTGTCCTAGTCATCCTTTGAGCAGATAATAAATTCAGATCTGATTTTGTACTCCCGAGTTCTAAATTTATAACAAAAATGTAGTCCTTAAATGTGACTTTTCAGGATGTATTGTTCAGTTTGCTTTTGCTTTTGTCAGTCGTGTCCTCAATGTGAACAAGGTGTTTTTGGAATCATCCTTGTAAAGGTAGTGACTCTCAGCTTTTCAATAGCTTTCATTACCATGTTCTGTCTTAACATTGTAAATGAATAAGACAAATAAAGTCTGTCCTAAAAATGATCCCTAAGGAACTGCAGTAATAACATCCATCCGTTGGGTGATTTCCCATGTGTCTGTTACCAAATGCTTTGGTGAAATATTAATAGCCTGCTTCTCCCTTGTTTAGAAAAATCACTTATCAAGTTAATTTGATGTGATAGCAGATTTAGATTGTGTTTTGACTCTTTTCTATTGCTTTTATATAATTAAATGTTCTTACTCTCAAAAAATGTTTTGAAGCCTTGAAAACTCCTGGAGGCAAGTAAGTTAACAGGTCTGTAATTACATGAGGGTTTTATTTTTCTTTAAAGAAGTGCTACAACTAATGTTTTCAGTCAGAGGGTGCCACTTCTAACTTCACAGCTATAAAAATATTTGCTAGTAGACTTCACAGTGCGTGTAACACCTCTTTGAGATCTCTGGGATATAGATTAGCTGATTCTTATTTGAGGGTATTAAGTTCTTGGGTTTTCATTTAAACTGTGATAGTTTGCTAATTTTCTGTTCATAATCAACATTCTCTTAGATCATCCAAAATTAACTCTTCTGTTGGCAAATCAATTATACTTTTTCCTTCCAAGTAGTAGATTACATCTGGAGGCCTTGCTTACTTTTCTCTTTGCTGATAGTTTCAGGTGTTTTGGGGCATTTGTTGATTTCCAAAATGAACAAATTTCAGGGTTCCACCAGAAGCAAAGGAAGTCATCTTTAAATGACTTTAAAATCACTTGTCTAGGTGATCCTGCTCTGGCAGGGGGGTTGGACTGGATGATCTTTCAAGGTCCCTTTCAACTCCTAATATTCTGTTATTCTGTGATTCTGTGAAATAGCTATTTCCTTTTTTAGTCTTCAAAACTTACTGGACTAAGTCTGAATACCTTCCAGTCCTCCTCTCATGAATCTTTACCCAAGTAACTGACAATCACTCAGCTGATTTTTTGTTTTTGATCATACATCTACGTTAATTTTACTAAACAAACATTTAAATATTTTTATTTTTAACCTGGCTGGCTTTCTTTTGTTTCTTCTATCTCAAAATGTTATTGTTAACTTGTTAGTTCTGCCTTATCAGATGGGAGTCCATTAATATTGAAGTCATGGTGTAGAAGGGAACTATTCAAGCCTCATGAATGAACACAATAAAATTCAAAATTCAGATTGTGTGTTAGTAACGTGGCACTGTTGTTAACTCCCTTTGCAAGAACTGCTCAATCTGTACATAGTTTTATTTAAAGCAAAATTTACTTGGCTTTTAATATTAATTGAGGAAGCTTGTAGCAGAATTGCAGTTTAAATAAACTATTTAAAAATATATTTTTACAGATTGTTATTCCAAGGAGTCCTCTTCAGGCCAAAGGACTGCTGCTGTCATGCATAGAGGACAAAAATCCATGCATCTTCTTTGAACCCAAAATACTCTACAGAGCTGCAGGTAAAGATTTCTGTGCTGTAATTTGCAATAAAGAAACACTTTTTTTCCCCCTTTTTGCACATATATGTTGATAGGGACCACTAAATACCTGAGCAGAAGTCTTGACTTGTTTTGTCTCTAGGCTGTCCTTGGAGGTTGTGTTTGTAGAGAAATTGTGAAAACTGAGTAAGATCTCTAAATTTGGCCACATAGATAGATGAGCATTTACAATCTTATTAATGCTGAGTTAACTTTGGAAGTGGAATGCTTTATACCCTCTTGGGATATATTAAAAAAAAAGAAATAGAACTGAGAGGCATTATCCTTTATCAAATTGCAAAATAAATTTGACAGAAGTTAAACTGCTTTCTTTCCGATAACTCTAGATAGTAAAATAAGTTTCCAGATCAGTTTTTATTTTTCCAAAAGAACTGAACATCACCATCACCATTTTCCCAAAATTAAAACTTCTTTGAATTGCTTAATTTCTAAAAATCTTGAAAATCAGACCCCTTAGATTTTAATCTTGCATGGAAGGAAGTGTGATTGCTGTTACTTTTCAAATTTGTTTCAGTTATAGTGAACTTTTTGGTTCAAAGAAGTTTAAACAACTCTCTTTATGTGTAACATGTAAGAACAGAGTAATTTGAAGATTATAGTGCTTGGGTTGGTTGTAAAAATTAACTTGTTACTTCATTGGAATGAAGGAACTGGACTGAGAGCAGATAGTGGATGTCATGGACTAGGGCTGAGCCAGCCACTAAATCCTGGCCAGACGCTCTCTATTAACCCCTCTCCCCAGAAGGGAAGGGAAAAGAGAGTAAGGGAGAGAGACTTTACGGGTTGGAAAATAAAACTAACAGGTTTAATAAAACAATAATACTAATACTACAGGATAATACTGTAAGTAGGGAAATAATGAAATATATACAGATATGTACAAATAGATACAAAACCAATATAAAATCCTCCCCCACCCTCCCCCCAATGATGAATACATCACCAGAGGCTCTGCAGAGCAGGGCACTGGAAAAGTCCTAGACCAAACTCTGCAGCAGTGGGAGCTGATGCAGAACACATGGATCAGGATCAGAGGCAGACGAACCAGCAGGGTTTTCTCAGACCTCAGCCATTGCAGGATCAAGATGGACGGAAGAGTCTGAGATGAAAGGGCTCCAAGATGGGAGAAGAATCGAGACCCTTGTGATCCCTCGGCTTTATACCAAGTATGACATGTGTGGGATGGAATACCTCGTTGGTCAGGTTTGGGTCTGCTTCCCCCCCTGTAGGCGCAGACACAGCACCCATGGTGAGACAACTTGGTCTTGAGCTTATCAGTGCACACTGTCTGGGAAAGACATTCTGCTAGTTTTCAGCAAGTTCAGCCACTTAAAAGATACTGAGCTGAAAAGTAAATTCACTAAATAGAAAATTAGTTTTATTTAGCTCAAACCAAGACAGTGAATGAAAACATTTTGTGTGTGGAGATAGGCAGAGCGATGGGGTGAGCAACTGGTAAAAGAGAGCTCAAGCCATCAGTTACCTTCAGGTTTCTATGTCGCATAACTTTATATACCAACTATGCTTGAATACGTCAATCCAATTTATAAGTTGACTCTGTGGGTGGACCGAACCTGAGCGAAGGACAAAGTGTCTGTATTTCACTTTGGACCTTTTAACAGCAATTTTCCATCAGTGCATCTGTTTTGCTGGTAAATTTATCTGCTTCCTAGAGAAGAGAACCAAAGAATAACAAGGGAGAGATTTAGAAAGTAGACATCAAGGCCACAGAAACCAGCAGAATAACTCATAAACAGATAGGCTACTTACTGGGGAAACTGCTTATTTGCTTTTAAGTTTTAAAAAAAAAGCCAGAATTCCTGTTGGCAATGTGTTTTTCAAAGTGCAACTATTTTTAGTGTGGTTTGATGTACCCAAAGGGTATTGCATTCCTTAAGTTGAGTGTGTTTTGAGAGCTTACTGAAATCTAGCAATAATGACCTTTGACCCTTCATTTAGATTTAGTTTGGAAAATGAACTTGAGTCTGAGTCCTGTTAAACAGAGATTAAAATGGAAATCTGAAATTCTTATGTCTTTAGAACAAACCTTTCTTTTCCCAGTATTTAGAAAAATACAGACTGCAGAGTTAACAAAATAATTTCATTTGTAGTGGAATGAATGGCTGCACATCAATATCACACAGCTTTTGAGAGGATAAGGGAGGCTTTTGTGTTTGAGGAAATGACTTGTAAAGCAATTGCTGGATTGTCAAGGGAACATAAATCAGCCTTGTCATTGAAATCTTGAGAAAAGACGTGTTGAAATAGTGGTTAATGTGGTTTATGTGCTGGTCAGTAACCAACCACAACACTACTACAAGGTGGTGTTGGTAGTTTCTGAAAGACTCCAATTTCCTCTTATATTCCGATGACCTGATTTTCAGAGACGTTACCTACGTTTTTGTCTTAAAATTTCTTCGAACATCGGTTTAGTGATCTAGGCTCAAATTTGTAGTACACTTGTATCAATGTGTGGTGGGAATGATTGTGACAGGTAATTTCTTTTGTTTTGAAACAATTTTGAGTGGACTTTTTATTTTTGTCTACAATATAAAGCAGGAATATTTTATTATGTGTGAGGATTTTGATATTTATTTTATTTTCATTAAAACCTTACCCTCTGGCGTCATTATTTCAAATTCTTAACTTTTTAGATGTCCTTTGTGGGTTGGGTCAGGTTGAACTGGAGGAAGAGCCTGGGAGTTTCTTCTAGAAAAATTAATCTCTGAGTTGTTTCTTATGCTGCTGGCCATGGTCAGGGTTTCTTGTAATTCCACCATGGAAACGAAGTGGCCTGGTGAATTTGGAAATGGACCAGGATCATTGGGATTGTTTATTTGGTCCTGAGGCAGCACAAAGAAGACAGGAACCTGATAAACAAGAACAGGATAAATGGTTGAAAGAAGGATTTTAAAAATGCAACTGTCTTCTGTTTCGAGTAGAGCAAATGTTTATAATATCCTATACGATTGTGTTGATTCTAGCAGGAGAAAGAAGACAGTACAGATTCAGAAATTGTCTTACAAAGTAAGCTGGAACTACACATGTATTTCTTGTCTCTTTCCATCAATGTCTTGAAATACTACAGTGTCTTCCCAAAGATGGGAGCATGCAGGCTTTCCAAAACAAGAAGACAAAATGGTATTAGGTGTCTTCTGTTGTTTTATTTATCTCTATTTTTTTTCTTTTTTTGAGGAGCAGGATGGGAGGAGCTATTGATCTCTACCAGAAATTTCCACTTTGACATTGGTGCTTTTTTAGGAGAAAGACAGGATATTAATAGTTTAATATGGTATAAAACCCCACCCAAGATTTGGGACCTCACTGTTCCAGAAAAGAAATAATTTTCTTTATTTTCGTGATGATACCTAGGACATTGAATAATGAAATTATATTGCCCCTCCAATAATTTTTTTTGTTCTAGCTTCATGCGAATAGACATGTTTGATGCAGAGAACTTAATGACTGATGTTACGGTGGGTGTGTAGGCACTTCATTGAAAAATTATGGTGTCAAAGACGATAACGGGAAGTAGTATTTTCTATCTGTAAAATCAATGTAGGCATTTGAGCGTCATCATTCTGTTCTAATGGAATTTTCTTTCTCCCTTTGAGAAATTTTGGCTGAAAATAGGCTGTAGATGGGATTGTCTTTAAAACAGATTGTCTGTCCTTGAAGCTACTAATGCTTTCTTTAAAACAAACCAAACAAAAATAGGACAAAAACCCCACACCCACTACACTCCAACCAAACAAAAAACCTGTGCCCTCTGCTTCTTCCTCCAAGTGTTGCTGCTATTATTGAAATTAGCTGTTGGATGCTAGCAATGGAAAATAAATATATTTCTAGCTTAGCATGTATAACCTGAAGTTGCCTTTTGAGAATGTTGAGCAGGGTGCCAGGTTGTTGCTGTTTTATGTAAGCTCTTGTGCAGAACCAACCTTATTATTCTGCATCTCATTCATACCTCCAGGGAGCTATATAGGCCCACAAATTACTTTCAATTTTTTGGTGTTTGGGTTTTTATTTTATCTTATTGATGACAGAGCATATTTGTCAAGATTCAGGCATGGATTTTTTCATAACAGTAAGGACATTGTACAGGAAAAAAAAGACTCCTTAAGTGTTTTGAAGCATAAGTCTGGTCTCCAAAGTAAATCAGAGCTGTAGCACAAAATACTTCAGTGAGTCTAACACATGGATATTGTGATTGCTTGCTGTTTTTCTGGAATAATGAGCTTAGCTGGATGTCTTCCCAGATGAACACAGATTTGTTTATTCAAATATGTTGTATGCTTATTCAGACAAGAGGTACAACGAACCATGTTATTAAATGAACATTCATTTCTGTATGAGTATTTGCTATCCAAACATGCCTTTGCCTACACAAGGTATAAGAACAAAATTAAGCCTTAAATCTTCACTGTGGTCATCCCTAGGAAAAAGGTGGATATTGATGTAGCATTGCCTTATGTTCACCGCGTTCAGGCTGTGATGAACTGAGGAGAAAATGCAACTTCCAAAGCGAAGAACAGCTTTGCAGGAAAACCTTGAAAACATTTTCCAGTTCATTCAAAAAGTAACTCACACCTGGGATATCCAAGAGCTGTAGTAACACTAAAAGGAGGGACTGGACTTAAAGCTAAGATCTTAAACTCTTCCTGAGTGTCTGTTAATAGTAAGTTTTAAAAGTTATGGAAGAGAACTATTGGTTTTATTTGAATGAAATACAGATTATAAGTTTCATATTCTGCATTAGCTGTTTCTCAGTGTGCCTGGGCACTTTGGAGTGCGCACCCTTACTCTTGGTTTACTCGCTTGGACAGTTATGGCAGTGCCACCACCAGCTTGGTTGTATGGATGTGGAGTGGGGAATGACCATGTTTCTCCCCCTAGACAGCTCTTTTCCTTTCAAAACTCTTGAGTGGAGGATCTGAGCCAGTCTGGCAGCCCTGCGTGGCTTGCACAGGAGATATAAAAGCCTCACTCCAGTCTCTCCTGGTCGCTGGTGTTTGGGACACAGATTGTTCCCACCCCTGCAGCTGGTGGCCAAGACCCCTGCTTGCCCCTGTAGCTCACACCACAGGCCCAGGGCATCTCCATCCCAGTTTGACTCATACTGCTGGCCCAGTGTCTGTCTTCTCAGGCTACTCTCACCACCAGCTGGCACTTGGTCCTTGCAGCACATGCTCCTGCGCAGGATAGAGAGTGGGATTATACAGAGTTAAATTATTTTAGAAGTAGTGAGTGAGCACCATGATGAGGCACAGGGCTCGGTCACACAAATGTACTGACTGGCCTCATTTTATGTGCAACTGTTTTCTTCTTTAACCCTTTCTGTTTGTTGCCCATCTTATTCCTCCCCAACACCCTTTACCTTCACATGTCTTTGTCAGCTGGTGTCGTTCCATGCATCCCTCTCCAACACTCTGGTTTGGTCTGGCCCTCAGGTTTGCATGCTTATTCCTTACAAAATCCTGTTTTAGCCACAGTTTCTTGATAGACCTTCACTCAATGTGCCTGGCCATGTTTGCTTCCAGTCTTTTGTTATGTTTGTGCCTCTATATTTTGTTTATAGCTTCTCCTTTATCACCCCATTTGACAAAGTCCTCCATCAGATATTCTTACTGAAAGAAACACTCCTACATTCCCCATGCCCTTATCAGTAAGTGGGACTGAGCAGGTTTGGTTCTTGTTACTGCCTCCCTCATCATTTGGTGGTTGGGTTTGTGTCTGTGTGTGTTCTTCCTTATGGCTTCTCCCTCTTATTATCCCCTTTTGCACTGAAAAGATCTATGTCCAGACACCCTTAAGGGAGCAGATGCCATCTCCTTCTACATAACCTTACAGTGGTCATGAGAAGTTTTGTGTATGTTATTTTGCCTCGTATAAAATTAGAAAGGCACAAAGAAATGTGAGCCTTTCTGGGAAAAAGTCCAGAGTTAAATATACGAGTAAAGGAAAAAGTCCAGAGTTAAATATACGAGTACATATACAGAGAGAGAATTCTGTTGCTGGTTAACTTCCGAGATTATAATGTTATTGAAACTGCTGTGGTGACATCCCCCTATATGTTAGAGATACTAAGAAAATATCTGAATTAAAAAGAAAAAGGAGGCTGTGGTTTATAAAAAGTAGTTAGCAGCCTGTGCAGTGTCAAGAGCACATAATGATTATGAATCAAAGGAGAAGATGAGTCACCTTGACATTATCAGGTTTAGACATCTTGTGGAGAACCTACTCTGATGTTTTTTGACCTTTTCAGTTTCATTTAATTGTACTATATATGACATTGGTGCTGGAGAAATAAATACGACTTGCATCAGTGGTTGTTATAGAGACAAGACAGGTAAGATGGGAAAACATGTGTTTTCTTTCTGCTGTTCAGATTGCTCTTTTGGAAAAAGCAGCAGATGGTGCAGCCTTTTAAAATTAACTTGTGATGGCCCTTTTCCTCTGATAATTACTGCTTTTTGTTAATTGCTTTATTTGAAAACTGTATTTGAAAGATTTGATTTAAAATACTTTATTTATATCTTCAGTAACAGATGAATGGGCTGCTTTGTATAAACATTGTTGTCCTGGTTTGGTTAATGATTATGGAAAAATATGCATAGAATAATGTCATATGCTACTTTTCGTCATTATTAGTGGAGGGATGAGTTTTTGCAAAGGTATTTGAATAAAATCCTACCAAATCTGGACTTCTCTATAAAATTTGGACAAATAGAGATTTGCATTTTAAAGTGTCAGGATTTCTGGATGAGCTCATCCAATGGACATCTTGTTGCAGAATGGTTTAGCTATGATAAGAAATTAATTAATTTGAGTAATTGTCTATTTATTTTGTCTAAGTGGATAAAGCCATTACACAGCAGAGGAGCTCTTTTTGCATCACGTACATCTTCCAGCTCTTCCTCTGGTGCATCCTCCTGTGGCTTCAAGACCTCATTCATATCAGTTGCCTGGGTTTCCACTCGAAGATCTGGTGGCATCTTAATAAAGCTCTTGTTCTGCAGGTTTCATGTAGATGACAATCCCATGAAGAAAACAGTTTTGCAATGCCAATTAATATAGTTGTGGATTTCAGTATCCTTCAGGATTTCTGGGGTTTTTTGCCCGAGGGTTTTAGGATGTGCAAAATCTAGAGAAGCCTGGTCTGGTTTACTGTCAACCAGTAACTGCAGTGAGCAAGGGCTGGATGGGCCTTTGCCCTCCTTTTTTCACTGCCTTATATCCCTTTAGCCACTAATATTAAAATAAATGATTACAGGAAGACAGTGATTTTTTAATATATTAAAAATAATAGTTTGTAAAGAGATCTGATTTTGTGGTATGAAAAGCACTTTGTGTTTAAAATTAGATTTTTTATTTTTTATTTTTTTTTCCTTTTCTTTGGTTGAATGGACATGAGTTCTTGAATTATGCTGAAAAAAACCCATTGCCCTGAACCTGGCTTTAGGTGACCTTGCTCTAAGCAGGGGGCTTTTGGACTATGTGATCTCCAAAGGTTGCTTTCTACCTCAGCCGTTCTGTGACTCTGTAAAATTCGCAGTATTTATATATCATTACTGGCCAAAAAAATTCAAATCTACTCTAATTTAAAAAAAAAAAATTCACCACTTGATTTATTGAAAAGTTATGTTTATAATTTGTAAGCCAGGAAGAAACCTAGTTAATTCTGCTTGCGTTGGATCTGCCATACCGATGAAGGAAAAATACAAAACACTTAATTCCTCCTGCTGGTATCACTCAGTAGGTTTCTTTATCATAA